AGTACACACAAGACTCCAGAGAAGAATCTTCCTCAGGCTACAGGCCATACAGGCCAACTTCAGGAGGTTCCTCTACCCAGTACACACAAGACTCCAGAGAAGAAACTTCCTCAGGATACAGGCCAACTTCAGGAAGTTCCTCTACCCAGTACACGCAAGAATCTAGAGAAGAAACTTCCTCAGGATACAGGCCATACAGGCCAACTTCAGGAAGTTCCTCTACCCAGTACACGCAAGAATCTAGAGAAGAAACTTCCTCAGGATACAGGCCATACAGGCCAACTTCAGGAAGTTCCTCTACCCAGTACACGCAAGAGACAAGAGAAGAATCTTCCTCAGGATACAGGCCATACAGGCCAACTTCAGGAAGTTCTACCCAATACACACAAGATACAAGAGAGGAATCGTCACCAAGGCATACTCCAGACAGAGCGACTTCCTCCTCCTCATCCACTCAATATACACTTGAATCACAGTCCTCACACAGACCTCAAACAGACAGATGGACACACACGCAACAAACGGATGAAGAATTGCACTCGTCGTACAGGCCAGCTAGCCGGCCATCGACCAGCTCCACTCACTCAAGGCAGGATACTTCTACATCCACTCAGTACACTCAAGAAAGTACCGAGGGGCCCACTTACCCCAGCCGACCCTCGTACAGGCCGTCAGGGTCCACATCTCACGAGAGAGAAGAATCTTATGAGTCTAGTTGGCAGCAGCAGAGAAGAAATCACACCTACACCCCTTCGTCTGGTGATTTTCACACAACCGTTGTCCAGCAGAACACAAGGCAACCGGAGACCACCACGCAGGGCGCACTAGATTCCTCTCGCAGAGACGGTTCTTCCGATATTTATAGTCAGACTTATGAGCAGTCCAGCTCTACTGATTCAACCAACCACGATCAGTATAGTAGGGGATACAACACAGAATATGATCAGCGCCAGCAGGGAGTTACTTCACATTACTCTCAAGAGGCATCAGCTGAAAGGCGTCTAACCACAGATGAAGGCAGAGATACAGTAGGTATCCCTGGGGTATTAAGCGGACCACATTCACAGTATGGCAATGATGAAAAGCATAACAAGGAAAGGTACGACATCAGTCCCTTGGAAGACAATGGACCTGAACTACCTTCTGTTGACAATGAAATTGATTCCTCTTATGTACCTACCCTGGCCCCGGTTGACAGTGAAATAGACAGCAGTGTTTATTCTGGAAGGGGACAAGAGTCAGCTATCCATACTGACAGGCGATACCACAGCTCTCGCCAGGACACTTCTCGAACCGATACACACAGCCAGGGACGTCCTACTCATGGCTACAGTGACTCTTCATACCATTACCGGCACAACCGCACCACTACACAGGGAGCTATAAACAGTGTCCCAGTATCCACTCCCGCACAAGTACCAGGTGCAGATGATGCCTCTTCATACGGCTACCCTAGTGTTGAAGGTACCAGCCGCCACCACTACAATGAGTCGTGGAGAACCTCAATCAGTGCTGACAGCCAGCCCCAGCCGGCTTATGGATCTACTAGCAGTTCCTCAAGTTCATCCCAAGTCAGAAATTGCGGACAATTCAGCTGTATAGTAGTAGGAGATGGACAGCTATCTTCCTCCAGGCAAACACAAACCCGTGTCAGCACCCGATATGTCAATGGGGAATTGGTTGGAATAACACACCATATCCGTCAGTACGAGGATGGAAAACTGGTTCACGAAAACAGAACAGAACAATCGGTTGATGACCTCTCTGAAGAAGACCTGCGCAGATATGGAATCGATCAGCTCCACTTAGTACAGGGAAGTTACCAGCCAGAAAGCTACTCTCAGCGCCACGAGGTCCGACAAGAGAAGAAGTATGTCAATGGTGAACAAACATACGACCTTCATCATGAGAGACGCTTTGAGGACGGATCCTTAGTTTACGAAAACCGAACTGAAAAGGATGCCGATGAATTAGGCGCTTCAAGTCCGGGAGGGTATGAGGGTTCCTACTCCCAGACCCACCAGGAGGGGGGCGCCAGACACGAGGTAACACAGTCGCAGCATCTGCAGCAGCATGTCACTTCCGGTGCTGTGGGAGACATTACTGCTGGACATGCCGCAGAGACGCAACAGGTACTTCCCCTTGTTATTCTGCAGTTCTCGTTGATAATTGGAAGATAAAACTGGCTAGTTAACACTTTTTTATGTCAGGATAAACAGGATGAAATGTTTTAACTGTTTGTCAATGTAACATACAAGATCTCACAGGCTGCAGGATCCTGCAGCTAAAAAGGTGACACACTGTGCCGTACATTGAATTCAATCCTATTCCAGGTGACAGACACTGCCCATGTGGCAGTTGTTCCAGTTTACACAAGTCGCAGGTACGAAACTCGCCGCCAGCAGGAATTCGTTGACGGTCAACCGACGTATGACTTGCACCATGAGCGTCACTTTAACGTAAGTGAATTATTCCCAGACTATTAGTTCATCAAGCATTATCATGATCAGTGCTTGATTACATTAATTAGGAAAGTAAATTGTGATTATTAGCTAAAATATTGTTTTAGAAGAACTGTCACCTTAAAGATGCTTAATGACATTGAGCATGAACTCTGTAATTGTTGATGCTTCTCCCATTAGAACGGATCCCTTGTCTACGAAAACAAGACAGAGCTGAATGAGGGCGAGCTGCGCACCTCCCATTCCTCGGGCCATCAGGACGCTCTGCACCAGATCCTGTCTGGCAACACTCTCAGCACTGCATATGACAGGTCCTCCTCTGCCACGGCACATGGCTCATATGGCAGCGGTCTCGAGGCTTCGCGAAGCTCCTACGGCGAGTCGGCTGCCTCACAGTCTGCTGGATCCTACAGTGGGTCGTCAGCTTCTTATCATGGCTCAGAATCCTCGCGGCAGACTGGGCTGTATGGAGAGTCAGCGTCGTCGCAGATTGGTGGATCCTACAGTGGATCATCGTCCCAAGGCAGTGGATCGTATGGTGGGACGGGAGTATCCTACAGTTCCTCATCCTCTAGTGAGACTCACGAATCCTCCGCCAGCGGTTTTCCAGTAGGACACACTGCCGGCTCCTCAAGGGCCACCACATCCGTTCTTGGAGCAGGTTCCTACAGCAGTTCATCTCAGCAGGAATCCTCTGGAGGCTGCCTCTCTTGCATGTTGGTTGGAAGTTCAGGATTCTCTGGCCAAGGATCTTTGGGCGTGTCCGGAGGTGCAGGAGCAGATGGCTACAGTCATCGGCAGGAGATGAACATGGAGGAGCATTACGAGGACGGCCAGCTGGTTCACGGGCAGGAGGAAAGCCGCGTATTCGAGAACGGACAGCTGGTGCACGAAAGCCAGAGACAGTATGCTGATGCCCCAAGCCAGGTAAGTAGAACTTGGATTTTTTTTTTAGGTTTCTTAAATATTTTGTAGACCAACATAACAGGTTCCAGAGGATAATTTCTTGGTCCATGTCTTCATTTAGAAATCAAAAGAATGATGGAAAACAAGAGATCTATATTCAAGATGATTTGCTAATGATGATAATGATAATAGTTTGATATGTAATGGTACTACTGCTGCTATCACCATCATCTTTAATTATCAATAGACATTTTTTACTGTTAGTAAATTGACAGTAGAATTTTGAATTATCAATAAACATCTTTTCTACTGTTAGTAAACTGACAGTAGAATCATTAGTACAACTGTAACCCCATGACATCCATTCTAGTCGTTCCGAGCTTCGGCACTTCAGTCTTCGGAAGCTTCCTCCGGCGAGGCTGCTTCGTGCGAAAAGAGCTACTGCCAGAACGGGGGAACCTGCATCCCCGGCTTCATGGGGCCCTTGTGTACCTGTCCCTTCGGATTCAAGGGTATGTAGAAAAACGTATTCATGTAAAATACAAGTTTTTATCCTTTGATCTTCCAATGATGAACATAACTCATTTTAAGTAATCATTACTCATTACCATACAGCCCTTAGTCTAATGAGCATTATCCATGAGGCATTATCACTTAAACATGCACATATACCCGTAGCATTCCGCTGTTCATGTTCATTTCATTTCTGACCGTGCAGGAAAAGACTGCAGCGAGCCGTACTGCCCCAAACGGTTCTGCCGATACGGAGGGTCGTGCCGAGTGGACGGCGCGAGACACGTCTGCGCGTGCGCGGAGGGCTACTCGGGCTACCGCTGCCAGACCCGGACCTACAGACACGCCCGCAGACACGCTTCCAAGCCGTAGGGCGCAGTTTCTCTCTCGGCGTAGAATTTTGTCTCCAACGGACACACACTAAATCATAAATGTCCTAGGATTTGGACCATGCATGTCCTGATTTTAGTTGCAAAGGGACCTGAAATATTTGGTGTCGGTTAGCATTGTAGGCAGACATTTTTAGCGGCGTTTCTTTCACATAGAACTTCCAAGACATTTACATATCTCATGGTGTGATTATTGTTACAGTATTTAATTAAACTTATTGTGCTTTAAGTTAAAGGCATTGATGCTCATATCAGCTTGACAATGATTTCTAAAGTAAACCTGTTGTCCATACTTATTTAGAGTCAGTGTATGTCTGTGAATATTTTCTTCGCTCTCAATGCGTATTCAGTTTTTGTTGATATGAAATGGTGCCTTACTAGCTACATGCTATGTATTTATTAAAATAGTTGTTTTCATTACCATTTGGCTGTCATCGTTTGCATCAGAGCCATGTAGGCAGAGGTAGATAGCTAAGTCTGTGGTCCGCAGGCGAATCCTAGGTTGTGTAAGAAAGTCTACCAGTGCTATACCATTCACCAGCGGGGCTTTAATGGGTCAGATTGACTAACGAAGTTCAGCAGAAAAGCATACACTTTGTGTCGCGTATTCTCAATATTCAACTATTTATTTTTAATGATATCATGCATCTAGACCTCTAGATTAGAATTTGACGTATTACTGAAATAAGGTGCAAAATGTTACGTTTGAATAAAACTATTGTTACCTGAACATTTTTTGTAGGAATCCTAAATAGTTATCCCCCGCATTTTGGTCAAATGTTTTCTATGATTAATAAATTTATAATATATTTTTAAGGGTAACTCTACTATATCAGCATTTTCATTCAGTGTATCTGAAAAGTAATGAGATGTTTTTTTTAATCAAACACCTAATTGCACTTATATAATAAAATAAGGGTAAATTTGGAAATGCAATCCCACACCATTTTTGGGGTGAATAGAACAATTTTCCATTGACTTTCGTCGTGTTTCGAACGAATCTAGCACATTTCCTTCGCAAATGTAGCATAGCTACGATATCGGCCTCGATACCTTGGGAGGGCATGATAGGCCAACATATCAGGGAATTTCGAGAAATACCGTTATACTAGTAAACATAGTATATTTACACATTTTCGGGTTGTATGGGGGGGCTCCGCCCCTTAAACCCCCTTTAAGAAAGGGCTGCCCCCCCCCCCCCCGCCTGGTGTGCAAAATGTTCACCTCGTATGTTCCGGCAGGAAAGAGCCTAGACCCACGAACAGTTTGAACCACACCTTACCTTCAGCCTTAACTCCAGACGGGCCAGACTGCGGGTCACTGGGATCATCGGGGTATTCCAGGTCGTTGTTGGCGGGAATTGCGATTGCTTGCAGTAAAGTTACACTGCTTTCTTCGTTTTGTCTTTTGAATCCTTTTTCATGCGCCACAAACCCACTGTCAGACCAGGAAGTCAGCAGACGGATTGGCCTGGCAGCAGGGGTCATGAACTCTCTCGACAAGAGTATTTGGAGATGCCGGTACCTGTGCAGAAGACCAAGCTACGTGTCTTCAAGGCCCTGATAATGCCAGTTTTGCTATACGGTAGTGAAACCTGGACATTATCCTGTGCCTTGGAGTCACGTCTTGAAGCCTTTTGTAATAGGTACTTGCGCCGGGTCATGGGGTACAGTTGGCGGGACCACGTGTCCAACCAACGGTTGCACCGTGAGACTGGCGCAGGACCTGTTACCTGTACAATCCGGGATCGCCAACTCAGGCTATACGGCCACCTGGCTCGCTTCCCCCAGGATGATCCTGCCCACCAGGTTGTCTCTGTACGAGACAACCCTGGGTGGAGGAGGCCTGTGGGACGACCTAGGAGGTCGTGGCTTGGGCAGATCGATCAAACCTGTCGTGAGGAGCTCGAGATGGGCCGAGTCCCTGCCTGGCGGCTTGCTATGAGGGACGCCAAAAGGTGGAAGCGAAGGGTGGATGCGGCTATGCGCCCCCGTCGGCGTTAGCCCCCAGATGATGATGATGACAAACCCACTGGTGTCTTGTCATTTCTGTAATGACACAATGTCTTACAGTGCGGGCATTGTACTTCCTTTGGCAGTACAGCGTGATATAGATTTAGTAAGCTTGCTTGGTTCTTTTGTTGATATTTCGCAATGAAATCGAAATAATTGTTCTCAAACCTACACACTTTCTAGCCATGATGGTACTGATTTGAATTTCAAAAGGCTTCTCCTAGGCCCAGCTTCTATTGACACGTGATGATCTATTCCATATCTGATTGGTTCAATTGAGTGTCTATGATCACGTCATGTTCACGCACGAATCTAATTGGCTCATTTGATTTCCCTCGCATACGTCATCCGCTACAAATCCGTCCGATTTCCCGTCGATCTTAACGACTTTTTATCATTTTGTCGCGGCGCTGGAGGCGTAAGGTTACTGCGGCTCCTGGAAATCGTGGATTTTATAACCTCTATAACTCTGTTATTATCAATTTGCGAAGAAAATGGTATAGAAGAAAACTATCATAAAATAATGTGTTCTACCACATGGTAAGCTCAGATTCTTTAAATTAGGTGTGGGGTTGCATTTCCAAAAATACCAAAAAATAACAACTATAATCAGTAAGTAATCCTCACTGTATCTGATATTAATGGGAACAAAAAATATCATTCCGTAATGACTGCTACTGTGAAGATAAAGGTAAAAAGTATCATGCTTAAGATGAATATCGTATTGATTATTATGCATATATACGTATACATATATAGAGTCATATCAATCAATCATCAATCCTGAAGATGGAATCTAAGTGGATTTCTAAACAGTAATATTCAATAAATCTGGTTTGTATATTTTTTCTCCCACATATATATATATATATATATATATATATATATATATATATATATATATACACACACACACACACACACACACACACACACACACACACACACACACACACACACACATATATATATATATATATATATATATATATATATATATGTGTGTGTGTGTGTGTATACATATTTATCCATATGCGTGTATATATATATATATATATATATATATATATATATATATATATATATATATATATATATATATGTGTGTGTGTGTGTGTGTGTGTGTGTATGTGTGTATATATTTATATAATATATATTATATATATATATATATATATATATATATAGAGAGAGAGAGAGAGAGAGAGAGAGAGAGAGAGAGAGAGAGAGAGAGAGCTAGCTGTACATCACAGGGCTCCAGTCCATTGTAGAAGATGGCTCCGTCTAAGGGTGTTCAAGACAAAAACAAAATCCGCAAATACAGCATAGAAAAAAAAGCGTTGTTGTTTCTGAAATAAGATATAAAACAGCGGAGTCAGCCCTAGACAAATGAAAGAATGTTATAACTATACCATAAAAAGGAGACCCTTTAAACTACAGACTTTTTAGCCTAATGGGGGTACGTATGAACAAAGAAAAAAATCAAGCGGAAATCAGCTGGAGTCACTTTGGTTTTAGAAAAAAATAAAATGCGAAATGCATTTTTGTATGGAGAACGTTAGCTGAAAGAGCAATAGAAAAGCAGAAAACTTTATGTGGTATTTCCAGATTCCGAAGAAGATTTTGGCAGAGTAAAACACCAAGAAATCATGAACGACCAAGAAGATTTAAGAGATAGATGACAAAGACTTAATACTACAGAAGGAATTGCACAGGGAACAAGTTGCAGCCATTTCAGTAGACGGAGAACTTAGTGTCTGGACTAAAATCTAGCGGGGAGTGCGTCAAGGATGCGTTCCTTCACCCTGACTTGTTCTCTTTATATGGCGAGCTAATAACAAGAAAAATCCTCAGCGATGGAAATTTCAATGTGAATGGTCAATCCATATCTAATATCAGGTATGCTGACGACAGTTTGAGTAGCAGAGGACATGAGAGATTCTAGTTTATGAAAATCAAAGGGTGTGATTTATGGATTTTGGATTTTGTTATTGTTGTTGTTGTCGTTGTTGTAGTTGTTATTGTTGGATGCTAGTTGGAAAACCTGAGAACAGAAAGCGAATAAAGAGGTCTCAATGTCAACAAGGAAAAGGCGAAAGTCATGGTATTCAGCAAAAGTAAAACAATTTCTCAATGTATTTTAAAAATAGATGATGAAAATATAGAACAAGTATGTCGGTTTGATTATCTAGGAAGTATTCTAACAAGTGATGGCAGAAGTGACCAAGAAATAAAACGCAGAATAGTAATAGCAAAGAAGAGAATTATGGAAAAGAGAAATATTTTAGCAAATAAAAGCATATCCATCGAAACAAATAAACGCTTTTAAAGTTTTACATGTGTTCTATTTCATGGAAGCGAGACGGACATAGCACAGAAATGAAAAAAAAATGGAAGTTATGGAAAAGCGGTGCTATCGCAGAATGATGAAAATATGACCAAAAAAAAAGTTAAAAACAAGGATGTTCTCAAATACGTAAATAAACAAAGGCAAATTATTAAACGGCTCACACAGACAACATATATACCTCGATCACATTTACAGAGAAGACGGAATATGGAACAAGAGCTCGGCAAAGAAAGAGGTAACTAGCCAAATTAGCGATAGCACCTGGTTATAACTAGGAAACGGGAAGGTATGAATGAGAACGAATATCTTCACAATACATCTCTTGTAAAGATATTCGTTCTCATTCATTCATACCTTTCCACATTTGTCAACACGAATACTGTTCATAAGAAACAGGAGCTTATATTGCTCACGATCGGCAAAAGTTCAGGAACATGGTCGTTAACGTCAAAATCTGACATCATAGAAGAAGTTGGGCTGACACACTAGTAAAAAATCATAAAAATCTGTTCATAAATTAAAAATCATTAAATGTGTTATAAATTAAAAAATCATAAAATCTGTCATAAATTAAAATTAAGTTGTTCATTAAAAATTCATAAAAAAATAAAAAATCTGTTCATAATTTAAAAATCATAAAATCTGTTCATAAATTTAAAAAATAAAATGTTCATAAAAAAATCATTAAAATGGATTTTTCTGCTAACCAACCACCAAACAACCTCTGGCAGAGGTAATTCTGATATTAATAACGATAATGGTAATAATATCATGAACAATAGTGGTAACAATGATAATAAAAAATAAAAATAATTGATGATTGTGATAGTGAAATAATGATATTAATGAGAATGATAACCAAAACAAGAGTAATAATAGCTATTTTTATAATAAAGATGATGCCGATAATAATAATAATGATAATCATCATCATCATAATAATAATAACAATAATCATAGCAATTATAACAATAACAGTAATGATAGATGAAGCAGTAGTTATAATGAATATATAATCGCAACAAATATAACAGCAAATTGTAATAATAAAACTGTTGTATATGATATCAACTGTCATGATTACTACCCTACATAAAAAAAAACTTTTTCATACTTGACTGATACACGTTTAACATGTTTTTTGAATAGGAAACATTACCAGACAGCATTTCCTGTCAAGCACTGGCGTGGCATCATCTGACATGACACTGACACGACTCCATCCCAGGTAATTACTGTGAATTTTGCCAAAAAAACAAAAACTTGTCATTAAAATATGCGTTTTGCTTCCTCCTTCGAGTGTGCAGCTGCGACAGCAACAAAGATAGCCAGAGCAACAACAGCAGCAGCAACAACCGAAGCTACAAC